AAAAAAAAAAAATTCATCAGGGCTTGTTTTGTCTTGGCAGACCTATACACCAAATGCAAATATGGCAGACCACTCGGTCGACGCCCGGAAAGAGCTGCATGAAAGCGAGGCTGGTCAGGCTTTGATTTTTTGTTTTGACAATGTTTCCCCAGAAAATTCTTGCTTCGTCGTCGATGTGGTCTGTTTTATTTCGCTGTGCATACAGGTTGCTGTGTTTATGAATGCCACGAAAAGGGACAAAAATCTTCCAGCGTTCGCCTCTAAGGGGAAATAGTGGATCAATGCAATTCGTTGAGACGAAGGAAAGGAGTTCACGATCACCGTGGGAACTAAAGTTTGTTCGCTACATTTCAGGCTAGAAGATCTTAGAAAAATCCTTTAAACGACGAGCTTATGTGGTGTCTGGTGGTGCTCCAACGCAATTTGCACGCCCCAAGATAAAAAAAAAGACATCCTCCGTCTCAAAACAAGAAGCTGCTGTGTCCGCGTCCACTCGCACGGAATCGGACGAAACAAATACTACGGTGTAATAACCAAGCGAGGGAACTCCAACTGCCCCCGTCGTTGAAACCAGTAAATGCATTGAGCCAAATGACAACGACTTGGAGCTAAATGCGATCGCTTACACATCTAAGATCTTCTAACCTGAAACGTGACTATCAAACTTGAACAATTCCTTCGGCGATCGCGAACTCCTTTTCTCCGTCTGTTTTCCTCTCAGACGCGAACGGGGAAACTGAAAAAAAAAAACTTTCTCTGCTGTGGAAGATTTCACTTCCCTCTGGTGGCATTCAGGAACACAAACACTGGTAGGGAGGCGAAACAAAACGGAGCAAATCCACGACAAAGCATGTCTTTTCTGGGGAACCAATTGTCAAAACAAAACATCAAAGTCTGATTAGCCTCCCTTTCATGCGACTCGTCCCTGGCGCTGACCGAGTGGTCCGCCATATTTGCATTCGATGGATGGAAAACATTTTAATGAGATTTTATTTCTCAGATGGAGTAAAGCTACGATGCTGATATGGTTCAGTGGCAGAAGATGAAATCCTTGCAAGTTAATTCACACGAGCCATCAACCTATATTCTAACCGTTAACTTGGTGCGTGTACGATCATGTGGGATGAGCAATATTTTAAAAACAAACGGAAGAGATACTTTAAATTTTCGGAAATTAACCAGAATAGAATGAATTCTTAAAAGTAGCTACTCTTGAATTTTTGTGTGAAACTTTTACAGCACAACCTCTTCAGACATTCGATCCCCTCTAGAGCCTCCATTTTTCATTAACCAGTTGTAAACAGCTCCTCCCTGTTTGTGTCTTTGTGGTTTTTATCTTTTTGTTTTTTTTCGGGCTAAGGGCATTTTTGAACTGATATTTACTGTTAAGAGCTAAATAATCCCTCCAAGAGGTAGAGGAGGTTACACTTTCCGCTTAGTAGCAATATTCACACCCTTATGTGACAGCCAATTAATCAATCGATCGATCAATCAATCGTATATTATACACGTAACGCCTAGTAACTGAAAAGCTCGAGGTACGTTTGTAATCGCAGTACAGATTTGAAGTAGATAATATTTACACCATCTTTATGTCACCGAAACGACAAACCATTAAGGTAAATACGAAGTTACGAACAGAGTCACATAACCTGTTTAAGTTTTGACAATAGGGTCCTATAACCCCTCCCCTATCCCACCCCCAGGATCATATAGTCAATTCCTAGCACTTCGCTCTTTAACTCAAAGTAACTTGCCGTCAATATGTAGTGAGGGAACAATGTAAGTTAACAATGTAACGCTTGTTAACTTACTGATACACTGTATGGCACTATATTAGTAAATTCCACCCACACGACACTGATAGTGACTTTAGAGTACCCTAGGAAACATCTTACGATAAAGTACAGGTACCTGAAATTGACATTTCAAACATGTAATATTAAACTTATTTGAATAAGATCCCTTAAATAAATCAATTAAACTAAGCACGTACAGTTTATCATTGACTCTTAAATTTTCTTTAATGCGATTGGGTAATAAATGTGTAAAGCATACGGCCGCTGGTTTAATTGCATTTCCATCAATCTGAGACAGCCAGCAACGGTACAAAACAGGGGGTATATTATTTCATTGAACAGGAACACAGGAAAAAAATGAGAAGAGCCTTCAGAAAGATACCAAGCAGACTACAACAACAACTGTGAATGCATGGCGCAGAAACCAAGGAAAGCTAAATAAAAGAGCTTAACATAGATACCATCAGCACAATCTGTTCTAAGGTCTCATATTTGAAAAAACGAACTCAAGGAGACGCAACAAAAAACGAAAGCAATTGTTAATTCGCTCGTTTCGTCGTCTGAGCAGTACAGTACAATCCGAGATTCTGTAACAAATTTTGCACCTGTACTCAGGAATATCCTGAACGTCGCGCAGGGATATATTTTTAAATACAAAAAGTAATAACACTTGCTTTTTTTAACGGCAGTAAAAGATTAGAGATAAAAGCTTTTGTCTTACCATTGCACTGGGATGTCCTCACATCAGTATACATGGGGGATTTTAACGTTCGATCGGAATACAATACGACAGTTATACGCCAGTTAATAAGACAGTTAATATTAATTCTTTCCCAAACACTGTATCTGTCCCATTGCACATATGTTTAGCCAACAGGAAAATTAATTAGTTTTTAGATTAAAATTAAAAGACGTGAAAAACGTTTGGTTTAAAAATACAGAATTTGTTAGAAATGCTGCGGATGACAAATGAAAAATGAAAAACTTGGAAAGAGAACTGAACAGGGCGCAGATTCAAGGAATTAACATACTTAAATGAATCTCAGCTTCGATATCCTCCCGACAACCCCCTTTCAACAGTGAGTCACCTATTTTGATAATCAACCAGAAAAGGTGCTTAAAAGGTCGATTTTTTTTTCAAAAACTGGCACCTGAATCACAACTACTGAAAAAGTATGACACAGAACATTTTTTTGAATCGGACTTAGCTATAGTGTCAATCAGACTTGCATGAACATGTCATCCAGTTAGTTATTTTAATGTGCTTAACCTATTGGCAAAACAAAAACGACACGCATTTTTTCACGCACGCCTTCGTACTAAGTAAAGGACGTGATCCAAACTAGCCAAGTCATGTCATAGTGCACCTTAAGGAACGAAAACCAACCTATCACATAGGAGAATTAAAGTGTTAACGAAATCCAAGGTTTTAGTTTTCAGTCATGTAGGCACTTGACAAGAACAACGAGCAATCGCCATTTGGGTTCATGTACGTACGACTGCAGAGGAGTGATTGCACCCTTAAAAGAGAGAGCTCACCAATTGTAAGTTCAGTGCTGTTGTCTGATTTATTTTTATTTTCTTGTTTGGTTAGGTTGCCTAACAACAGAAGTCTTTATTTCCTCTTTGACCTCGGCTGTAATTTAACTTCTCAATTTTAGAAACCCAGTGGACCCTACTTAGGGATATCTTCAACAAGCCGAGCGTTGCATAAATTGAGAAACAAGCAATCACCTGCATATATTATATTATTTTTGCTCCTGTAATAACACCAGTATTTTCCTATCTGAATTTTCAGCTGAATTAGCAAGGCGTGATTACTCATGAGTTGACATCGGTGGAATTGAGTTTTTTTTTTGTTGTTGTTTATGTTACTCTTGTTATGGCAATGCAAACACAAAAAGGAAGCTTATTTACTGTTTTTTTTGTTGTTTTTTTTTTTCTACTTTTTTTTACATCTGATAACCTTCTTTTGAGACGCAAATCATGCAAAGACTGAAAGTAAACATATACTAAATACTAAACCTGTTAAATCCGATCAGTGGAACCTTCCAATCCTTTCTTGTAGCGCAATGTTCATGCGTACAGTCACGGAATGGGAAAAACACTAATTTGCCGACATTTATAAACACATGCTCTTTGTTAGGGCAGATTTAGACGGTACAACCTTCCGCCGACGGGCACGACACGAACTATTTCTTGTAAATCAAACATAGATCGAGTTCTCAAGTACACGAAACAATCCTCCTTAGGAAAAAAAGATGGCGGTCCAACCTTATACAACCCACAAAGTACAAGAAAAGCCATATTTTTTTTGCAATATTTGTCGCTGCGCTAACGACATTGTGTATGCTAGGTTTGAAGATTTTAAACTTTTCTATACGTTTTAAAGAGCGTTATTAAAGTTCTTGTGCGTTAAGAGTTATAGTAATGTACCAGTAACCATCTTTTTTTCGCACGGCGGATTCTTGCTGTACACTGTACCTAGCCGATAACTTGCTCAGTGCATGCGGGACAGTGGCACCATCCAAAACGGATTTATGTTTGAAGGTTTCTTTTCCCTCAAAACAACGGGCTTCTCTCATCAGCACTTCTTGTAAAAGACTTTTGTATATTTACTTTCAGTAAGGTTCTTGCTTATCTCATCCATTCTTTCTATTCTGTTTTCATTTCATTTTCACGGTTTGACGGTGTATAGGCAAAATGCTCTATACCTATTTTGCAGAACCACGATAGTTACGACTACCATTACAAATGAAAGTACTGAGATAAGGTTTCTTTATTTCTATAACAAATTCAAAGTTACGTTGTGCTGCATAAACTATTTCCTAGTCACAATTGCAAGTCTTCGTTTCCAAACAAATTCAACTTGCACTGCAGCCTGAACCCTATAAACTCAATAGCTAAAACTAAAACGGATTATTTTCAGTTTTTCTAAGAAGCCACATCTTGACGTTGCAAGCTAAGCTCAAGCAATCTGGCGCCCTAATGCCTCTTATCGCTCGCAGAATTACAAAACAAGTCTATCAGCTTTATTGGTCTCATAGGTAAATATGTACATATATAGCAAATCAGTAAGAAATAAAATGTAAAGACCAAAAGAGATTGCCCGAACGGGAAAGTATCTCATGCGAGGGGCAAACCTAAATCTAAAAAGAAGAAAAAAAATAAAAGGATCTAAAATTTAATAGAATTACAATGAATCTAATTAATAACTAATAGTGCACAATAAAGTGCAAGTAGAATCGGTCATCAAAAGACCACTGTGAATCGTAACTAAGGATTTCGAATGTTATAATTACACAGTGCACTACCATGTCAAGTTTACTGCTCATTTTGCTGGCCTCACTCCGTGCTGTAACGGGAAACGGCAACAGCAAGCATACCGGCGATCAAATCACGGTAAAGTCGAGTAGTAAACACAAACCTTGTGTAGACTTGTTAATAACAGTCTTTCAGTCAAATGTATGCATTCAAATTGCTGTAAGAATTACTTATAACTGTCCTTCAATTCCACACGCTATCTCTGTACCAAAGTTGTTAGAAAAATTACTCATAATTCGGTTAAGCGAAGCAAGGGTCGAGACAATACTTTATAGCAACACTCCAATGCAAAGAACTGCAACATTTCTACTGAGCTTGAAACTTGTAATAATGCCGCTCTAAGTCAGGCCAACGAGAAGAAACCATTTAGGATTCTCCATAAGGGGAAGCGGATCTTCTATGCGTGAAATAGCTTCAATTAAAAACGGTGTTTGATGTTACTGATTTAACTGCGTACACAATATTGTTTTGTTCAAAGCCGTCCTCATTCTGCTGCGCATGTCAACCCGGCTCACCTGGCAAGCCTGGTACCCCAGGGATACTCGGGCGAGATGGACGTGATGGTCGTGACGGAAATCAGGGACCCCCGGGAATGACTGGACCAGTGGGACTTCCAGGACTACAAGGAACAAAGGGAGAAACTGGTGTCCAGGGCCCTAGCGGACCAAAAGGAGAGCGTGGGGAGACAGGGAAAAGTGGAAGTCCTGGGACGCCAGGCCAGATGCATTATAAAAACTGGAAGGAGTGCGCATGGCAAAATTTGAATGATCAAACAGACTACGGTCTGATAAAGGTACACGATTTTGTATACAATGACGAAGTCATTGTTCATTTCGTCGACAGATTTCTCTTTAGGGGCTTAGTTTTCTTTCTTTCCACTTTGCACTGTATTACATAATTTAAAAATTCATATTTGAAACCTTTACCAAGAAAATCCACAATCAAAAAGGTTTTTTTCTATAGGACTGTATGTTTACCAAAAACTTCTCTGATACAGCCCTGCATGTTTACTGGACTGGTTCCCTTAGAACCTACAAGTGCACAACTTGCTGCAAACGCTGGTATTTCACTTTCAACGGAGCTGAATGTGCAGCTCCCCTGCCAATTGACGGTATTGTGTTCATGTAGCAAGGAAACACTCAAGACCTACACCGTGTCCGCCATATTGAGGGGCACTGTAACAACATCCACAAAGGAAAAGTGCATGTAGGATTCTGGGTTGGTGACTGTGAGGGTTATGGAGGAGGTACTGACGCCTACACAGGATATAAATCAGTGTCTCGAATCTTCGTTGAAGAAGTTCCTAAGCCCCAAGACTAGATTATCACTGGTTGTAATTTAACAATGCAAATAAAGATTGTGTTGAAGTAGTTAGAGACCCTATTTTAGTTTTTTAACAGTTTTGACACGTTTTTCTCGCTTCAAATTTTATCACTGTTTAGATTTAAAAATTAACTAACTTGTAACTGCGCACCAGTATTGTTAAATAAAAGCAGAAAAAAGGCAGGATGATTTACGCTGAAAAAATGTGCGCTGTGTCAAAGTGCTATTTCCGCTATTTGTTTCAAAAATAGATAAAGTGCTAGAGAAGGAATAAGAGTAGTTTATTCAGTCCCCAAGGTCATATACGTAAGCCGCGATACAATACGCCGTGGGATAAAAAAATGGCGGTTGTACATTTTACCACGATACCATGCAAACCTTACACAGCTTGAAACCAGATTGAATAGTGCTCCGCATCTATAAAGCAATTCAGTCTCTAGAGCACTGCTAGAATATAGTTCATATTTCAGGTCGTTAAAACGGAAACTCATAGAAGAGATACGTGCAGGTCTCCGATGATTCGTTTTCGCTTACTGAAACTAAATTTTGCGTAACTTGGTATCTCGATTTCAATTATGTATTTAAATGTGAAGGGTACCAGGATCGAAAAAAAATTTTTCAGAAAACTCAGAAAACCAAATCAGAATAAGTACAAATGAATTGGCTTGAATATGAGTAATCAGTAAGCCATTTCCAAGTTGCCTTTTAACTTCAAAACGAGTCCTGGTACACAACCTTTCACATGGAAATAAGTTTGATTTGCAAGACAATGAATGTGCAAGAAAAACTCATTTACATATGAAACGTCGTGCACCAGGGCTCCTTTTAGAACAGAGATAATAGGAACTCGGAAAATGGCTCGTTGATTTGATGTGTGCCGAAAAAAACTAATAACATGAATGTATTTTAAAAGTGCCCGATTATTGCGATTGGTATCGAATTTGGTAACAGATAGAGGGGGTAAGCAAGCACTGCTATTGATATTTATCAGCAGATCAAACACTTTCATGCGAGCTCAAAGATCCTTTTTGCCAAGAGAGCTAGTGAGTAAAGACCTAGAAATAGACTTACTGCGCGCACGACCCCATCCCTTAACTTTTTTAGATGTGATTTCCAGTACAATATTTTATCATTATGCAACATGGCATTCTGTGATTTTGATGTTTGATAATTACCCAAACATTTCGTCTCAATTCCTTAACTTAGGCTCATTTACAGCACATGCATTGCATTTAATTAAAAGAATTGCCGAGTTATAACTCCAGAGCAAAAATGATGCCTTGATAAAGTTACTCGCGAATAGAAACGCTTTTACAAACAGATGTGCAAGGTAAATATCGTAGGTTGAGTAAAAATTAGTCGTGTTCATAACTTGTTTGTTCATATCAACTGTCAACAAAAAAAAATCGAGCGAAATATGAGTAATCATCAGCAACAATCTTAAATTATCCAGCTTTTAGTGATAATAGATGACATACTGTACAAGGTTGTTCCAATAAACCGTGGCTTCCCAATTCATGAAAACAGTTTCTCTGGTGCAGTGAAGAGATGGACTTATTTCGATCTATTTTTACGTTAACAGTTTATTTTTCCTTCTGACAAACAAGTCAAAATCGTGTCAATTGACAAGTATAGCAAAGGAAAAGGTCGTGATTCAAATCCTTTACAAAAACTGCTAATTGCTCTTTTCATGTCTTCAAAGAGAAGTTTCTTTATTTTTCGAATTGCTAAGGGTGAAACGTTATCATAACGCTATCACTGTTTTACAAAATACAAAATACAAATACAAAATAAATGCGCGTTCTTGTCTACAAAAGCTTCACGCAGTCTTTAACTCAGGGTAAAACGTGACGTTTGTTTGATGCAAAACGAGACAAGAAATTTAAATCTTTTTTTTTTCTTAATGAATAAAAACAAAAGAACTGTCATGAATATTATCAGTGATGTAACACAGAGTCAACACAAAGGCTAATAACTCAACTGCACACGTAACTAATTCATCATTCCTTTACAGTGAATTGTTCGACAGGCGTTTGGAACTCAAAGCCATTATTTGAGCTCACAGGTATATCGTCGTTTCCCCTGATCTTTCCTTCTCGTATTCCTTTGCATAGTTTTCTTAGTACTTAGTATTTGTTGTATATGAAATATTTAACTCTGACGCCTTAAATTCAAACCCTTTTCAAGGCTAAAATCGACAATTTTCTTATCGGTTGTATAGGAACAATGTTCACAATCTACAGATATAAGGTCGCCTTCAGTACAAATCAAATCAAAGCGTGAATTACTCAACCCTCAAGTTTGAAAGCCCTCGACACCAACATTACAACCTTTCGTACAATTTCTACAGACCTCATCTTTTAACATTTTTTCCGCAGCAAGCTCGTCAAAAATTGAGAAATGGCCCTTATTTCGCAGAAAGTCTCTGTGATGTCCTTGTTGTCGCTGTTTCCGATGTTATTGCTCATTTACTGTGCCACAGCTGATGATAAAACTAATCAACCGTCGTATAAAACGGTAAGTTATTTTTGGAATAGTAAAGCGACATTTTTTTTTTTGCCGCGATATTAAACTCCATTCAATGATGAGCTTGTTGGAAAATAAAAATTCGGAAATACTCAGCAACAAATGCTTGACCTGGAATATCCACAGTGCTTGTGGCATTTTAATGCGTCTCATTACATGGAATATTGCATAAGAATGGCGTCTTTGTTAAAACTAAACTATTCTTCTAGACTGGAGTTGGATTACGACACAGCGCAACTTGCTCAGAAAGATGAAACACTGTAAGGGGAGTTAAACTTGCATTAACATCTATGATGTCAAAGCTTAAATAACTAACTTTCTTTTATTTTATTTCAAACCAGCAACAACCTCCTTTCTGTTACGGTGGTATCCCTGGTACGCACGGCAAGCCTGGCATTCCTGGGGCACCAGGTCGTGATGGCCGTGACGGCCTTGACGGATCCAAAGGCGACCAGGGCAGCCCGGGAAAGACTGGACCCCAGGGACCTCNTCGTCCTGGCCGTGATGGACGTGACGGAGCCAAAGGCGACCAGGGCAGCCCGGGAAAGACTGGACCCCAGGGACCTCTAGGAACACCTGGTATCAATGGAAAGAATGGCGCGAAAGGAGAACCTGGAGTCCAGGGCCCTCCCGGCCAAAGAGGGCAGCGCGGAGAGAGGGGAACAAGTGAAACCCCTGGAACTCCTGCTTATAGGAACTGGAAAGAGTGTGCATGGAAAGACTTGAATGAAAATAAAGATCACGGTCTGATCAAGGTAAATGTATGTTTGACAGTTGTAATAGTTGTAATGACACAGTAAGAATATTCACACATTATTAACAGATTATTAACACAGTACTAGTAAAGTTTGAAACACCTTCACAGCAGCGAAAGTCATCATACTTGTTCCAAAAAATCTTTATCTCTTCTATACCTCTTCTATTGGGGTGAATAGGCCTGTCCCGATTGTGCTCGTAAAATGCTGGAAAGTTGCTCACTGGAATGCCAAAAAGTTGCTANGTAAAGTCGAGTAGTAAACACAAACCTTGTGTAGACTTGTTAATAACAGTCTTTCAGTCAAATGTATGCATTCAAATTGCTGTAAGAATTACTTATAACTGTCCTTCAATTCCACACGCTATCTCTGTACCAAAGTTGTTAGAAAAATTACTCATAATTCGGTTAAGCGAAGCAAGGGTCGAGACAATACTTTATAGCAACACTCCAATGCAAAGAACTGCAACATTTCTACTGAGCTTGAAACTTGTAATAATGCCGCTCTAAGTCAGGCCAACGAGAAGAAACCATTTAGGATTCTCCATAAGGGGAAGCGGATCTTCTATGCGTGAAATAGCTTCAATTAAAAACGGTGTTTGATGTTACTGATTTAACTGCGTACACAATATTGTTTTGTTCAAAGCCGTCCTCATTCTGCTGCGCATGTCAACCCGGCTCACATGGCAAGCCTGGTAGTCCAGGGATACCCGGGCGAGATGGACGTGATGGTCGTGACGGAAATCAGGGACCCCCGGGAACGACTGGACCAGTGGGACCTCCAGGGCTACAAGGAACAAAGGGAGAAACTGGTGTCCAGGGCCCTAGCGGACCAAAAGGAGAGCGTGGGGAGACTGGGAAAATTGGAAGTCCTGGGACGCCAGGCCAGATACATTATAAAAACTGCAAGGAGTGCGCATGGCAAAATCTGAATGATCAAACAGACTACGGTCTGATCAAGGTACACGATTTTGTATATAATGACGAAGTCATTGTTCATTTTGTCGACAGATGTCTCATTAGGGACTTAGTTTTCTTTCTTTCCAATTTTCACTGTATAATATAATTTAAAAATTCATATTTAAAACTTTTACCAAGAAAATCCACAATTAAAAAGCTTTTTTTCTATAGGACTGTATGTTTACCAAGAACTTCTCTGATACAGTCCTGCATGTTTACTGGACTGGTTCCCTTAGAATCTACAAGTGCACAAATTGCTGTAAACGCTGGTATTTCACTTTCAACGGAACTGAATGTGCAGCTCCCCTGCCAATTGACGGTATTGTGTTCATGTGGCAAGGAAAAACTCAAGACCTACACCGTGTCCGCCATATTGAGGGGCACTGTAACAACGTCCACAAAGGCCAGGTGCGCGTGGAATTCTGGGTTGGTGACTGTGCTCATGGTGCTAAGGCTGATGCCAGCACAGGCTGGCAGTCAGTGTCCCGGATCTTTGTTGAAGAAGTTCCTAAACCTCAGGCTTAGATCTTGAGACAAAAACTCTATTCCTCCGTAAACGCTTATTAAGGGATGCAATAACTCGCTTTTCGAAATTATATATGAGTGGTTTCTCCAATTATTGGGTGCACTGTAGTTTCACGTTTGCTGATGAAAATAAAGAGCAGGAAAAAGATTGATTGTAATGGCTACTTGCCTATGGTCCTTTCTCTTCTTTTCGCGCCCAACTGGCTGAAGAAAGCAACACAATTGTTGGTCTATACAATGTAAACAAACCCTATACAATGTAATAAACCCTCCAAGAAGTGTGGAAAAAAAAACCGGGAAAACAAAGAACACACTTCCAACATCACTTCTTACACCACAAACAAGAGGCCTTAACGCGGATGGTTTTTGCAGTCACCATCGTTGGTTTCTGTGCGAAGAGTGAGACCTGATAACGAAATTAAGTGAAAATGGTGAATGAGAAAACCTTAGTTGATGTTGTTATTATTCTATTATTCTATTATTCTGAACAGTTTATTGCGAATGTTAGACCTTTTTTTCTACGAGCCGCACAGTTCTCATTGAGTTCTCATTTGGCTTGCTATGTATGGCTTTGCTCGTTCTTAAAAATGAATGCTAGTTTCTTAAGACGCTGCTGTCTGATCTGGAAGCGTAAACAACATACATTTGAGACATTTGGTCCGATCAAGTAAGCTGCAGGGTAAACAATAAGTCCTTCTTCAAGCGTTCGAAACTGTCGAAACGCTTGTTCAGGTTTAAATATTTCAAATCGAAGCAATGCGAAAATAAAGTAAGCTCAAAACACCGAAATCCAAGTTTATAACAACTAAATAAGAGGTTATTTCTATGGTTCTTTATTAAACATACACCTTCAA